AAAGTTATAGAAAGATCAGGTCCAACCCTAAAAAGCCAACTTTAAAAATTTCAGTAAACTGCCCTACAGTATAATAAAGCCAACTGTCTTACAAAAACGTGTTTGCGATCTAAAGATGAGTGTCTCGTCTCCAATGTTGTTACCAGCTTACATGTAACACCTGCCATCTTACGCACATAGGAGAAACTGGAAGAACCCTACACACAAGTCTCGAATGTTGTTACCAGCTTACATGTAACACCTGCCATCTTACGTACATAGGAGAAACTGGAAGAACCCTACACACAAGTCTCCAATGTTGTTATCAGCTTACATGTAACACCTGCCATCTTACGTACATAGGAGAAACTGGAAGAACCCTACACACAAGTCTCCAATGTTGTTATCAGCTTACATGTAACACCTGCCATCTTACGTACATAGGTGAAACTGGAAGAACCCTACACACGAGGATAGGAAAACATATTGATGCTCTTTATAAACAACAACCAGAAAGAAGCACAGTTGAGGATCATTTTTTTAACTAATCATGGACAGATAACACCGGACTCGAAACCCCCGTTCTCTGTACAAATCCTCACTAAAGCCACCAAGTAAACAGAGAAAATTCAAATAAACTCTTCTCATTGAACAACCACAGATGAATAGGAACAAAGAATGGTACCTATAATTTGAATTATTTTGTTAACTACCATTAACAGTTAATACTTTTCTTTCAACAATAAGCTTCACTACTTAGTATGTCAAAAGCATGCTGTACAAATCTTCACTAAAGCCACCAAGTAAACAGAGAAAATTCAAATAAGCTCTTCTCATTGAACAACCACAGATGAATAGGAACAAAGAATGGTACCTATAATTTTAATTATTTTGTTAACTACCGGTAACAATTAATACTTTTCTTTCAACAATAAGCTTCACTACTTAGTATGTCAAAAGCATGCTGTACAAATCAACGTTATAGAATCAAGTTATTATTTGAAGCTTTGTACTGTCAGTTTTGGTTTGTGTTTTAGTGAGAGCTTGTAAAAGAACATACCGACGTTTGACTACCTTGATGCACTTTTCTGCCTCTTTGTTGGTGAAGCTTGATTTTGCAAAATGTATTTATTTCAGTTAGCTGTGAAATGTGAAGTTAGGGTACACTATGGGGATGGAGGTGGTAGTACTTGCCCCATTATTTTTGATTGGTTGTACACTAGTTATAAATATAAAATGAGCTTTGAAATAATAAAAGTGATAATAATTTAGTCTAAAAAATAATTGTTCAACTTACGCATTGATAGCCAGAAGGTACAAGAAATGTGGAGCCATGAGTTTAAAGAGTGGATGAGATGGAGACAGATTTCTGTGGGTACACACCACAACTCCTTCCATCAACAAGTGGGTAAAACCTAGAACATTGGTTACAAATAATCTAATTATCTCCAGGGTTACTTTATTTTAATACTTGACCTTACGTGCATTTGTCTGCGTGAATTGATCGTAGACAATGCCAAACCAAGATATTGTCCACTTTGTTTGGACAGGCTTCGTCCAGTGGAATAATCAGAAATTCTGATGACCATTTACAAGAATAAAAATAAAAACTATAATTTGCCTGTAGAATTTTTTTATTTACAATATTAAATATTTATTACATATATGATATCTGATGTTTTACACAAAATATGCAAATATAAATTTTATTAGGTAGTGGTTTTCTTTGTCATAATCATGCAATATTTATCACCACTGATATAATGTGAACAATTATACATGTATCACAATATTTTAAGTATGATATTCTGAATTATTTATTAATTACACATACATAAAGATTTTTGAAGTATTTGTTTGTAATTAAGCACAAAGTTACACAATTGGCTATCTGTGCTCTGCCCACCACGGGTATCAAAACCCGGATTCTAGCATTGTAAGTCCACAGACGTACCACTGGGGTAGGGGGCGTTTTTGAAGTAATTATTGATGTTATAAATGTTGAATATTTGTCAGTATTATAGACATATTTATCGCTAGTCCTGGAATTCTTGAGTTTGGTCAAATACCAAATAATATGCTTTCGAAATCAATATTTTGAAGTTCTTTATTTGTTAGGTTTGTTTGACAGTAATCTGACAAAGTTTTTTATACTTTTAATACATGTATACGGCCCGGCATGGCCAAGCGGTCAGGGAGCTCGACTCGCAATCTGAGGGTCATGGGTTCGAATCCCCGTCCCACCAAACACGCTCGCCCTTTCAGCCGTGGGGCGTTATAATGTGATGGTCAATCCCACTATTCGTTGGTAAAAGAGTAGCCCAAGAGTTGGCGGTGGATGGTGATGACTAGCTGCCTTCCCTCTAGTCTTTCACTGCTAAATTAGGGACGGCTAGTGCAGATAGCCCTCGCGTAGCTTTGCGCGAAATTCAAAACAAACAAACACGTGTATCTTAACAGTAATTAAAGATTTTCCCTAGTTTAAGTGAAACAACATACCATTAATATAATAAAGACAATCCTAGTTCAAGTACATCAGTATTAACATCGCACATCTATATGTGTAAACAGGAAACAAAAAATATATAATAACCAAATTTACAGCTAGTTAACAACGTTTTCAGCTGTCAGTATTATAAAACCGTAATATATGAATGAAGTAGATATAAAACAATAAAAACATTCTGGTCCTACCGAGGTGTGTGCATGATTGGTGGTACGTGGCATCAGCATTGTTGTAAAAGATTTTGGCCAACAACCAAGTATATTCAGGATCACTTGGTAAAAAAACCTATTCCAGCAAAAAGTAAGACAAATATTTAATAGAATTATTAGTTTTCTCCCAACGGCTACCAATGTAGAGAAGAAAAATAAGTAGATGATTTATTGTCATTATAATTTAATGGACTTAATTTAACACATATATATATACGTATCTTTTGTATCACTGTTAACTTTAAGTATAACTAAAGCATTGGTCACACGAAAAACTTGCATGTGAAAGTCATACGAGCAAGAAATGCTGGACAGTCAGACCATAAGAATAAATTCTACAAAGTTGACATCTGAGTATTGTATCATTGAAGTTATTTGTAACTTTTATTTATGGGGAGTAAACTTTAAAATCTCACCGGATTATCTGGACCCTTGTCTTGAAAAAGTTGAATTGCAATAGGCATCAGTTCTTTTCTGTCATTGAGGAAGAAGAGAGCAATAGGAGCTGTCAACTGAAACAGAGAAACTTATCAAACTATTGTCCTGATTATAAAAAACATTTCAACTATAAGCTTCTACATTCAAGAATTTTGAGTGAAAATTCATCCTTTATAATCCCCTGTATTAACATTCATTTCCTGAGAAGTGTGGTAATATCGAAGATAGCAGGAATTTTCACTTTAAATCATGGCTTAAATATTGGGAGTTTTCATAAAGAGAGTTCAATTTTGGGAAACACACATCAAGTGCATGTTTCTAAACGAATAATATCAAAATAAAATTTTTCACGAAATTCTTCAAAAATACCAAGGGTATAGCCTTTGCAATTTTGATGAAAAATATGATTTTTGAAAAACTGAAGAAAGTGCGTATTTCGAAGCAAAATTAAGTGTGCAATGTCCGATTTTCGTTATTTCATAGTAAAAGTCAATAATAAAACACTACGATTTTATTAAATAATACTCTATCGCTTCACAACAAATTATGGATTAAATATTAGAAATTTTGGTTAATGAATAAGACACGTGAGAAGCTCGTGGAATAGTACCATTAAAGAACAAATAGTTTTATGTTATTTACGGATATTAAAAATGTATATTTATGTATTGTCAGAGTTACAAGTCCGAGGGTAGCTCTTCAGGGAACTAGCCTTAACGACAGGTATTCTTAAAAAAATCAGCAAACAATGTTTACGTATTTTGGCTTTTTGTAATTTCTTGACTTGCAAATAAAACTTCGTAATTAAAAATTACTGGAATAGGAAGATGGGAAAAGTACATTAATTCGCGCCCCCCAGTGGCACAGCGGTATGTCTGCGGACTTACAACGCTAGAAACCGGGTTTCGATACCCGTGGTGGGCAGAGCACAGATAGCCCATTGTGTAGCTTTGTGCTTAATTCCAAACAAACAAACATTAACTCGCTAACAGACTCCGGGCCCGGCATGGCCAGGTGGTTAGGGACTCGACTCGCAATCTGAGGGTCAAGGGTTCGAATCCCCGTCACACCAAACATGCTCGCCCTTTCAGCCGTGGGGGCGTTATTATGTTACGGTCAATCCCACTATTCGTTGGTAAAAGAGTAGCCCAAGAGTTGGCGGTGGGTGGTGATGACTAGCTGCCTTCCCTCTAGTCTTACCCTGCTAAATTAGGGACGGCTAGCGCAGATAGCCCTCGTGTAGCTTTGCGCGAAATGTAAAACAAACAAACAGACTCCGGCTGTGATCCCTAATGATACTTGTGGAACGGAGACTATCTAAACCATATTTTCAGCGTAAAATATACTAATGCTATCTACCCACTAAAAGGCTTAGTATTAGTGTTCAATCACTCGAAGTTATTTCAATTTTCTAGTTCAGTAAATATGCACGAACACTTAAGTTTAACTTTGCAGAACTTGTAGGATTTATTGACTTAATGTACTTTTAATTCAAAACAATCCGTTTCATTCCTAACCCTTCTTTTTTTAACGTGTCACATTCTAACCAAAATGTTTATGGAACAGTTTTCGAAAATGATACTAGGGCGTTGTAACATGTATAAAAAAAGAAAATTATCACCGTTTAAGGTGGAAATGGGATGAACGTAACACATTTAACATCACCAGTCCAAGTGCGACTAAGCCTATTTCACATTAACAAAATATAACACATTTAACAACACCAGTCCAAGTGCGACTAAGCCTATTTCACATTGACAAATCAGCAAACTCGTCAACCATCAAATTAACACATTTTTTTCCATATCTTAAAGTTGGGAACACTTTTTTTTTTTTTTTACCAGATTAAGACTGTTAAATTTAAATCTGATGAATATTGGCTTACTTTGTAATTAATTCAAAGTGTCTAGTTAAACTGAAGACTGAGACTTGGCTTACTTTGGAATTACTTCAAAGTGTCTAGTTAAACATAAGACTGAGACCATTTACCATGCGGGCATCTTTGCAGGCAACATCTTTGAGTATCTTGAGGTCAACAATAAATAGCCGTTTTTGTAAGAGCGCCTTTTCTAACGTCAGCCCTTCCAAGAATGGTTTCACCATTTCAGGCTCTACACCAAACCTGTGAGAAGCAAAATTTCACAGGAAACTTTTGTCAGTCTAAAAAAGAAAACGGCAAATGTAAATATTTATAAAACTTGACAAATCTTTCGTTAGACTTAACGCGTGTATCTAAGTTCTGTAACTTCATTGTTTATTTTAATTGTAGCTTACTAATTACTTCCTCCAACTTTTATAAAACTTGACAAATCTTCCGTTAGACTTAACGCGTGTATCTAAGTTCTGTAACTTCATTGTTTATTTTAATTGTTGCTTACTAATTACTTCCTCCAACTTTTATAAAACTTGACAAATCTTTCGTTAGACTTAACGCGTGTATCCAAGTTCTGTAACTTCATTGTTTATTTTAATTGTTGCTTACTAATTACTTCCGCCAACTTTTATAAAACTTGACAAATCTTTCGTTAGACTTAACGCGTGTATCTAAGTTCTGTAACTTCATTGTTTATTTTAATTGTTGCTTACTAATTACTTCCTCCAACTTTTATAAAACTTGACAAATCTTTCGTTAGGCTTAACGCGTGTATCTAAGTTCTGTAACTTCATTGTTTATTTTAATTGTAACTTACTAATTACTTCCGCCAACTTCCGTTGATTTGTGCTCATTAAACTTAAATACGAGCTACTCTCAAACAAAGAAAAAAAATATACAGTAGTGACACTGAAATTAGGCTTTAAACAAAGCTTATCTAATAAGTAAAAAACAACAACACAATTTAAGTCATTATAGCCGTTTATGAACGTATATTAAATTGTTGATGAAATTCAGAAATTTAGCATACATATACATAGTGAAACACGTAAAACTAGATAGTTTTGTTTATAGCCATTAGAGTAACCAAACACTACGGACTCCATATCTCTACCAGTTGACCCATCACTTACTTTGACGGGATTTCTGTGCAGAGAGTGATAAGTACGGGATTAGCTCCTTGGACTCTCTGGAGACCAAACCATTTGTCATCTGTCCAGTACTGGACACACTGCCAATTAATAAGGAACAGAATGTCAAAACCTCATTTTATTATTGTTTGTAATATATTAAACTTTTATAAATATAGTACGCGTGGGTAAGAAATCCAACACTATGGACTTAATATCCTAGTGGTTTCAACTGATATTAATATGTATAACCGTGTAACAGGGCTTAAATAATCAATTCAATATATATACACAAGGTGATTAGATTATTGGAAGGACCCTCTGGGGACAAATCAATACCTTCAATTATCACTAATCCAACAATGTGGATTCAATAACCCTAATAGTTAACATAATTACCCTTGTAACAGTGCTTCATTGTTCAGTAATCCAACAATGTGGATTCAATAACCCTAATAGTTAACATAATTACCCTTGTAACAGTGCTTCATTGTTCAGTAATCCAACAATGTGGATTCAATAACCCTAATAGTTAACATAATTACCCTTGTAACAGTGCTTCATTGTTCAGTAATCCAACAACGTGGATTCAATAACCCTAATAGTTAACATAATTACCCTTGTAACAGTGCTTCATTGTTCAGTAATCTAATACGACAGACTCAACAGCCTTTATTGTTTGACGAACGTGGGAAAACAATAACCTTACGTCATCATTCATAACTGACGCATTAAGATGTACAAGTAAATATCTAATTTTACAAAGGGGATTTAAATACTTGGAAATAACTAATGCATTTTTATACCGAAAGTTACGCACTCCTGGTACTGCCTGAAGTGGAAATTAGTAAATAGCTTTATTATTATTATTATCAAAAAATGTGCCCCCCCACTGGCATAGCGGTATGTCTGCGGACTTACAACGCTAGAAACCGGGTTTCGATACCCGTGGTGGGGAGAGCACAAGCCCGGTATGGCCAAGTGGTTAGGGCGCTCGACTCGCGGGTTCGAATCCCCGTCCCACCAAACATGCTCGCCCTTTCAACCGTGGGTGCGTTAT